TTAAAATAAGTCAAAAATGACTTAAAATAATTTGACAGTCTTGAAAAGGCAAAAAAATGTCATAGAATAAGTCAAAAACCAAAAGTAGGTCTCCCCTACTTTTTTTTTGACTTAAAAAATCATTTATGTTTGACTTTTTATTTTTGAGTTAAAAACTTTTTAAGCCAATCCAAACAGACTCTTAGTGTGTATGTAATGTGATTCACATGTATCTATGATACATGACTATCTTCCTCCCCATCTCGCTCGCCTCCCTCCCCTTCTCCCTTGCCTCTCTTCTTATTTTAGTGTGTATAACAACAAAAAAATGTGTATTTAGGTGTATCCTCCATATTATGGTGTTAGAAAACTGATAATTAGTGATAAGATACATAATTATTTGAAAGTAGATATACGTAGAACCTGTATATATGGTATGGATGCGTGTCAATCACTATCGTTTAGACTTAAATATGTCACAAGCCTCACCCATCGTGAGTGGCACCTACAATGAATCCTACATGGGAGAATTCAATCCTATACTAACACACACAACTCAACAACTAGAAGTACGAGTTTTAATCAATAAAATCAAGTTTCATAGCAAAACATTATCATAAAACAATTACAGACTTAAACCGTAGAACCTAAGAGTTGTGTATCAAAACTTTCACTAATCTAGAATATGGACATGTAACCTCAGAAATACAAGAGTGCATACTGTCTAAGTCTGGAAGATGAAGTAGAAAAGTAAGGCATATCTATGGAATCCAGAACAAAGTAGCTTACCGTTGGATACAAATAACGTGGGATTCACCGTAGGAGCCGCCTAATATGACATGTTATGAGCAAAGAAAGTGCAAATATTGTATCAGTATACAAAATCAATGTGTACTGCTAGTATCATGTCTAGCTCTAAAAAATACGACTCTAGAAAAAATTACAATATAACACATAACAACGACAATTCAGAAATGGATTGGGTGAAATCTCTAAATAAGTTCCAATTTTCTTGTTATTAAGACAATAAGGAGTCCATAGGGACCTTTAGGAAATAATTCAGGCAAATCCTTACATCAAACTTGGGGTGAAGAAGTTAGTTTAGGACGTCAAAGTTCAAAGGTATGTTGTAAAATAGGTTTTTTTGGGAATATTACCAAGTTTTTGTCCAATATAAATCATTATAGAGGGTGACATACCGACATAGTAGTGGAGTTAATTTCCGCTATAGCAGAAGGTCCCACAACAGTGCCATCACAATAGCTGCATGGAGCTGCTATAATAAGGTTAGTCACATTTAATATAGAAATTTCCCAAAACTGCGCATTGTTCAACAATTACATTTCAGTGGAAGAGCAAAGGTGACCTAGGGCGTTTCTCTATCTTTCACTGTTATCGTTGGTGAAGGTAATTAATTACTCTCTTAGCTTGTTAATTCAATTATTGGGCCTTAGAATCTATGGTGGTTTCCTTGGGAGGGTTTGAGTTGGTATAATGAAGGAAAAACCCCCAGTTTAGTATAATTATCATGGATTTTTCCTAGGGTTGGTGTTTGGGTATAATTTGGGTGCCATTTGGGCCTGATTATGTCTATATTATTGATAGTAGAAAAAAAAAGGATATGTATCATCACAAGGGGAAAGTTGAAGTTCTTTAGAACATTGTTGGTTTGATTGGAGGTAGGTAATGATTGTTTATTTTATTTCGTGTTATGTGCTTGTAAACTGCTTTTTTAGTATTGCTTGCATACATGGTTATGCAAGTTTAAGAAATATAAGTTTGTTTTCAATTGTATTTGACGAATTTGTTTACTTGAGTGTACAAGTGTGATTGTTATTCATTGTGATTGTGATTGTGATTGTTGGTTGGCTCGGGTACCACGCCTGGTATAGGATACTCCCATAGTTGGCTCGAGTAACATGTTTGGTATGAGATATCGATATGGTTGACTCAGATATCATGCTGATACAAATTAATAAAGGATGGATTGAGTACCACACCTTGTACATTGACTATTTATGTGTGGGTTCCATGAGAAAATCGATTATCTTGTTGAAATTTTGTTGCTCATATTTATTGTGGATGTCAATTTAAGAAGAGGACTAGGAATACGAACTATGTTATGATTATGGTATTAATTGTATGCTATCTAGTTTATTAAGTTATTGTTACTTGTTCATATTTTGTGTAACTTGTAGCGGGAAATAATCATAGTAGTACATTGTGGATTTTACGTACTAATATTGTACTTCCTCTTTTTTTTTTGACTACCAGGCATTTTTCGGTGGTTGTTTTGTGATCACATCTTTGATCCTAGCATTATTAAATCCAAGGGAGATCTACTTTTTTCATTCTGCCATAGATTCATCTTGTTTTTCAATGCATTTTCCGAACTCAGACTCCCTTTAGTTCTTTTGTTTTGGAATTGCATCGCCATAATCTAAGCTATAACCTTTTCTCGCTGGATCAACACACAACCAAGGCCAACTCTTGATGCATCAAAATAGATCACATAACCATCTGAACCCTCTGGTAGAGTCAATACATGAGTTGTAGTCAATCTAGTTATCAGTTCTGCAAATCTTTTCTCAGAATTATCTGACCATTGAAACTTGACCATCTTCTAAGTCAACCTAGTCAATGGTGAGACTATGGATGAAAATCCTTCCACGAACCTCTTGTAATAACCCGCTATACCTCAGAAACTTCTGATATTGTAGTTGAGGTAGGTTTGGGCCATTGTTTCACTGCTTCTATCTTATGTGAATCCACTAGGATCCCCTCGCTAGATACAATGTGACCAACAAAAGCAAATGATTGAAATCAAAACTCACGTTTGCTAAACTTAGCGAATAATTGGCGATCTTTGAGAGTCTGTAGAACAATTCTCAAATGACTCGCATGTTCTTCCTCATTCCTAGAGTAAATAAGGATATCATTAATAAAGACGATAATGAACAAGTCCAAGTACTATTTGAACACTATGTTCATCAAATTTATGAAAGTTGGAGGAGAACTAGTTAGTCCAAATGACATAACTACAAATTCCTAATGACCATACCGAGTTCTAAAGGTTGTTTTCAAAATGTCACTATCTTTGACTCTAAGCTGATGATAAACTGATCTAAGGTTTATCTTCGAGAAATTGCTAGCACCCTGAAGTTGGTCAAACAAGTCATCAATTTTGGGGATGGAATACTTATTCTTGATTGTGAACTTGTTCAACTGTCTATAGTCAATGCACATTTTGAGAGAACCATCTTTCTTCTTTACGAACAACACTTGTTCACCCTATGGAAAAATACTAGGTCTGATGAAGCCCTTATCTAGGTCTTTCAATTGATCTTTCAATTTCATAAGCTCTGCTGGAGCCATTCTATAATGAGGAATAGAAATAGGTTGTGTATTTGGAAGGAGATCAATTCAAAAGTCAATTTCCCTTTAACGAGAGACATCGGGAAGAGCTTCGGGAAATACTTATGCAAAACTCACTGAATACTGGAACTAACTCAAAAGTTGGGGTTTTAGAGCTACAATCCTTAACCTGAACAAAATTATAAAGATAACCCTTAGAAATCATCTTTTTGGCCTTAAGGTAAGAAATGAATCGTCCCATAGGCGCTAAACTACTACCCTTCCATTCTAAAATTGGTTCACTTGGAAACTAAAAATGAACAATCCTAAATCTACAGCCGATTGAGGATAATAGGAATCTAACCAGTCCATGCCTAGAATGACATCGCAGTTTACCATTTCTGACTCTACAAGGTCTGCTGAGGTGAATTTTTTAGAGATTGTGATAGGGCAATTTTTGTATACCTGTCTAGCTATACCTATGTTATTGACTTGATAGAGACTGAGAAAGGTTCTGAGAAAGTTTTTGGAGTGACACTGAATTGGACTGTTATGTAAGGAGTTACAAAAGAAAAAGTAGCCCTGAATCTAACAATGCATAAACATCAAGGTCAAAGACTCGTAACGTACCAATGACTATGCCAGGAGAACTTTCCTAATCCTCGCAAGCCTGAAGAACATATAACTTGTTCTAGCGATGACTGCCACCAAAAACAGATGGGTTACCCAACTGAGTTGGGCGACTTGTTGGTGCTGCGGAAGTTGTAGACTGAGCTCTACCATTACCACCTCCTTGACCTTGTGTAGAAGGGCAATCCCTCAACCTGTGACCAAACTGACCACACCCAAAACATCCTTCCTTTTATAGCGAGGCACTCGCCTGGATGGTTCTTACTACACTTAGAGAAAGTGAGAAGTCTTGGTGCCTGAAATGCTTCCGTGAGACTTAGAGTCTGGTGCCCCAACCTTCTGATCATAGTTGTTCTTGGAGTATGGAAAAATAGTTGATGAAGGGGCTAGGGTTTAAAATTTTTGCTGACTCTGCGAGCAATTTACACCACCCGATTTCAAATTAGAGTAGTCATAGTTCACAGTCCTAGCCTTCCTATTCTCATTGGCATGTTCCCTAGCTTATCACCCTCAAACTGCTGAGCATGAGCCATATTTCTAGAGATGTTCATATCTCCCAATAACATAGCATTTCTACACTCAAATTTTACCAAATTTGACACTTTATATAAGAACTTATTCATTTGAGCCCTGGAGTCAGCATACCTTGAGAGTTGGTTAAACTTGATCCCATACTCTTAGACTGTCATGTTTCCCTGCCTTAAGTTCATGAATTCTTGAGCCTTTGCTTCACTCAACTCTATTGGGAAAAACCTGTCCAAAAAGGTCTTACTAAGTCAATCCCAAGTAATAGGAGTTGCATTTGTACCCCTATTTTCCTTCTACTGGGTGTACCAGATATGATCAACATCATTCAGCTGGTATGATGTCAGTTCAACCCGATCATTTCCAGTGAATTGCATCACCTCAAAGATCTTCTTGATCTTATCCTAAAAATTCTGGGGACCCTCACTAGTTTGCGATCCTAAGAACTCAGGAGGATTCATCTTAACAAAGTCATGAACCCTAGCTGCTATTAACCCACCATTTGCATTCACCTAAGCTTCAACCCACTTATTGTTCTGGTTGGCCATACTCAAAGACAATATCTGAATGACGTTCTTGAATTCAACATTGGAGACTTCCTGATCTGGGACTGGAGGAGATGCGTTTACATTCCTAGCATTCGCATTCGTGGCGTTAGCTCTACGCGAAGGCAGGATCTGAAAATGCAGAACGTAGAGTTACATTGGAATTAGATCATAACTTACGCACAATAAGAGTAACAAAAAAGTGAAAAAAAAAATTAAAACACTTCATTGTCTCTCTCTCATTAGATGTGGTGCACTTTACACCCATGAAAAGGACTATACTTAGTGCGACTTTTTAGGCATCCTAGGACTCTTAAATATAGTGCTCTGATATCAAATTTTGTCACGCCTTGAAGTACCCTCGAGATATGGACACGGGACCTAGGACCACGAGTGATCCCAAGCTAACCCTACTAGCATGATCATGAGCATACTAAAGATAATAATGTGATGCGGAATCTAAATTCATAATTTAGAATAAAAAGACGGGGAAAATTCATATGCTAAAACTGAGATATATTAAAATTGATGAGTTTAATACAAAGAAGTTATTAACTCAATACTAAACTGAAACTAACTATGTCTGAAAATAGCTTCTAACTGACTAGAAATGTTGACAGGCCCCAGCTAAATCTAGCAAAAACTGAAACTAAAGGACTAAATTCTAAAAAGAAACTCATGAATGCTATCCCCAAAGAATGAGAATTCACCACATATTCTGCTGAATTGGAGATCGGGATTCGATCTAAGCATGATCTGGATGCTGAGAACCCAAACCTACATCATGAGAAGATGTTGCGCACGTATGCGTTAGTACTTTAAAGATACTGAGCATGTAGGATAGAATAAAGCTTAAATAATACATAACTGAACAGGCAAAAAAGCAAGTATAATATTTTGAACATGATATACTGAATTCTGAGCTAACAGGATGCAATAACTAGATTTATAACATGAGACTGAATACTAACTGAACTTTAAATATGCTCAATGTAATATAGTCTGACTGAATTGTGGGAGCTACTAATAACCGATAATAAAATCACATGAGCTTAATGTGGAGTCTGATGTATACGACCTATCGAGAGGACCAATATACCCTACCAAACATATAAAGGCATGTTGGCATGATCACTAAATTGATGCCCATAGATAGGAATTACAACCTACTTGGCTAGTAACCTGGGACTGTATAGATACGCTGAAACCTAGTCCAACTGGGTATTATGCTACTCCCACTGTATTAAGTGATTAAGACATTATGACTGAATTTATGTAAATACTGGATAGCTCAAAACTGAACTTGCAAATTGAGAATGCAACAATTAATCTTATAATTTTGCATTAATAGCTAAGGCATGCGTATTTGAAGCAACTGAAATATTTGACCAAACATGTGTAATTCAAGAACTAAAGAAATACATAGCTAGAATTCTGAAATTTATGCAATAATCTGAGTAATAACATGGTAATCTGATTTGGAACATATATCTAACTAATTCATGAAGATCTGCTCTTATTCTAGAACCCTGGGTTTATTCATGATAAGAGAATCAAGAACTCACTGAGGACTAGGGATCTAATGGGTGAATGAACCCACTAGTGAAATCCCACATACCTGGTGATGAAATCCACAGAGAAATCTTTAGATTTTGGGGCTTGAACTGGTGGAACCTTGATGTATTTATGAGCTAGTTTTCTTGACCTTTTTCTCCTCTCTTGCTTCTAATTTTCTAAGTTTTGATTTATGATTTTGACTTAGGTAAGTTCTTGTTATGTTTCTAGGCTTAAGTTGACTAATATATGAAGATTTAAGGCTTAAACGACGTATCTTAGGGATTAAACGAACTAGGAAAAGGACAAAAGACCCTGAACTAATTGTTGTCGGACCAATCGACGACCTGGATAGAAGGGTCGTCATTCAATCGTCGATTCGTCATTTGGGTCTGCTCGATGGGCCTTAACTAAAACGGGCATATCTTTTTACTCGGAGGTAAATTTTTAGCAAACTTGGTGGTTATGGAAAGATGATTCAATTATCTGTTATTTCATAGGTTATGGAGCATCTAAATAATTTTGTTCTAAAAGTGAAGACCATTTGAAGTTGACCCTAATAGCAATTCCCCCTAACTAACTGTTAATATCATCTACGGACCGCAGATCGAACGACCATTAGTTAATGTTAGAGGCTGGGTAACTTGATTCTCAATCCACGGACCGTAACCCGACTTACGGACCGTAGATCTATCCATAGATCGACACTTCGTCGATTTTCTAGGCTGAGTTTTTTGGAAAACATCAGTGGCAAATGAAAGATGCACAGTACGGGCATTATATAAGATTACGGTCCGTCGATGGTAACCGTCGATTGCACCTGCAGATTCTGAAAAGCTAATTTCTGGTCTGTTTTTTATACGGGGTGGTACATTTATCATTAGTGAACTTTACATTTTGTTTTGTTGATCTTGTGAGTGTCTATTTGTGGAACTCTGATTGATGAATATTGAGTTTGTTGCTGAGAACATATAATTGTTAGATTGTTGTTGTTAATATGTGTCTTATTTTAATTACGAATCGTTAGATTGGGCTCATTTTATGCAGGTTGTAGTTGTGGAGATTTTTATTGATGAATATTGATCTTGTTTTTGCGAATATGTGATTGTTAGAATATTGTTGTTGATATATGTGTTTGTAAATTGTGAAATGTTAGGTTGGGCTAATTTTATGTAGGCTGTTGTCGTGGAGATTAAGTTGGGGTGTAAGTAATACCCGTATTTTATCCCCATAGCTTGTGTTTAGAGGTTTACTGGCTGAGTATCGTGTGGTTTGGTACTCACCCCTTTATTTTACATTTTTTTTGTAGGTTAGTAGCCAAGACTTTTGTGATATATTCTCTTATTTTTCGAGGTTTATTGGATATTTATGAGGTAGTTGTTTGTTATCTCACCATACCTTCTTACTCCTATATATCATCTTGTTTTATTCTAGAAACAAGGTCATTTGAGACTTGTGTTTTCTTTTGAATTAATTGTAATACTTTAGAGATTTGTACACGTGACAACCAGATTTTGGGAATATTTTTTGAGTTGATTATGAAATTTCCGCATTTGATTGCAATGTTGAATTTTAGGCTGACTTCTGTTGGTGGGATAAGACGAGTGTCATCACGTTCATTTTTATGTCGTGACACCAACAATGGTCTTACACTAATTTTATGAGAAAGCAACGATTAGTGTTGAGAAGAGTTCCATTTATGATTGAAAAAGAATATAAGAGAACTAAGTATTCCCAAATATACCACTTTTACATTGAAAAAGAGAAACAAAGATTTTAAAAACGAGCGGGCTAGATGTTGTATCATCACATAGCTCAACTGATGGTTATCAGTCTGAGAATCTCCCAAATAAGAATAAAGAGTAACTTGTTGTATTTTTATATACATTGTTGAGTTAATATCTTTATTTTATGAAGCTTTAAGCATATTATCTTTTGTTATTGCTTTTGTATTGAGTTGAATTGAGGTGAGTATTCTCTCAGTGTTATTAGTTCAGTTATCTATACATTTTGTTCTCTTTACATACTCGTACATTTCATGTACTGAAGTCATTCCACCTCATCTTATTGTAATGAAGATAAAAGTGTTCATGTTCATCAACAAATGCTTCGTTGAGATCATTTGCAACTCCAGTTAGCTTGCATTCCTGATTATTTTTCTTTTTTCTTTTAGTTTAGCCCCTTTAAGGTGTTGTGGATCGCGTCCCGACATCTATGTTGACCTATAGATGTTTCATAGATAGTTGAGTTAAGGAGTCTCTCAAAATTTTCGCTTTTGATTGAGATATTTTGAGATTGTTTTGTTGAGTATTATAATTATTATTGCAATTAAGTATTTTTCAGCTAGTTTGAGTTAAGAATTCGCTTGAGTTTGAATGTTCTAAATTATATTTTCTAAGCTTGTTATTGCTTGAGTAAATCTTCGCTAAGTAGTCAGTCATGCCAAAGGTTCAATTGGAGATTAAATGGTTCTAGAGTGCCGCTCACGTCCAGGGCGTAAGTTCGGGGTGTGACATGTTTTGCAGAATAAGAAAAAAAATAACAATTAAAGATTTTTATCTCTCAAAAAAGATATATTATTGATTGAAAATGTAAACATGTACTTTTTCTAATAAAATTGTTAATGACCATTTGTGACATTTCACATGAAAATAAAAGGATTTTATTGAAATTATAGTTATTGAGTATTTTAATTTGATTTCTCTTCAAATAACGCAACAATCTCTTAATCTTTCTCGTTTTTATTTGAACCACTAAGAAGACTAATTAGTTTGTGTATTTTATTAATAAAAACGCTATCTCGAATACAAAAGAAATGAAAGCTTAAAACTTAGGAAAAATAACTTAAATACACAACTATAAGTTTTATATTCTCTAATTTTCCCTTCTTTTTTTAAATATTACATAATTCCCTTTTTTTTAATTTTAGTGTAAGTTTATAGATACATTACATTCTCTCCTATAATACACAATTATCCATTTTAATGCCTATTTTTTCTCCATTAAAACACTCAACCTTTTAAATTAG